TGAGAGTCTTGCCTAGCCTCACCCTTGCGAGGGTCCCACTCTATCTCGCCCTTGCGAGGGCTATTTTCTCACCCTTGCGAGGGTTACTTTAAACTTCGTCCTTGCGAGGACTAATTCACCCTTGCGAGGGTCCCACTGTCTCGCCCTTGCGAGGGCTACTTTAAATCTCACCCTTGCGAGGGTTATTCTCTGAGAGGAATTCAGCAATCAACCAGAAAGGCGAAACAACAGACCGGTCGCTCAACGCGACACCCCGGAAGATACTGGAAAAGATAATACAAAAACAGATCTGCCAACATCTAGAAACAAGTAAAGTAATAACTAGCAGTCAGCATGGGTTTGTTAAGAACAGATCATGCCAAACCAATCTTATTTCATTCTTCAACACAGTGACTAAATTAGTAGACCAGCAAAATACTGTGGACATAATATATTTATATTTCAGCAAGGCATTTGACAAAGTAGACCACAACCTACTTCTTGGTAAGCTAGAAAAAAGGAGAATAGATAGCACCACCACTAGATGGATTCGCACACTGGTTGGCAAACCATACTCAACAAGTAGTCCTTAATGGGTCTAAGTCTACATGGAGGGAAGTAAGCAGTGGGGTGCCACAAGGTTCCGTCCTAGGCCCAGTACTCTTCAATATCTTCATTAATGACTTAGTTGAGGGAATAGAAGGGGAACTTACTAAATTTGCAGATGATACTAAGCTGGCAGGAATAGTTAACACCCAACAAGATAGGCTCAAGATCCAGATGGATCTTGACAGACTAGAACACTGGGCCCTATCTAACAAAATGAAATTCAGTGTAGAGAAAAGTAAAGTCCTACACTTAGGCAAGAAAAACCAAAAATACACATATAGACTGGGTGAAACCAGGCTTAATAGCAGTAACTGTGAGAGGGATCTTGGAGTCTTAGTGGACAGCCGGCTAAATATGAGCTAGCAGTGTGCAGCAGCAGCCAAAAAAGCTAAGAGCAACCAGGATGATTAAGGGGACAGGAGGCTAAAACATACAATGAACGGTTGCAGGAACTGGGCTTGGCTAGTCTAGTAAAGAGAAGGACCAGGGGAGACATAGCGGTCTTCCAATATTTGAGGGGCTGCCACAGGGAGGAAGGGGTCAAGCTATTTTCTAAGCGCCTGTAGGCCAGACAAGGAATAATGGATGGAAACTGAACAAGGAGAGATTTAACCGGGAAATAAGGAGAAACATTCTGACAGTGAGAACAATCAACCAATGGAACAGCTTGCCCTCAGAAGTTGTGGGAGCTTCATCACTTGTGACTTTCAAGAAGAGATTGGACTACCATTTGTCAGAAATGGTGTAGGGTCTCCCACTTGGGTGGGGGGGTTGGACTAGATGACCTACAAGGTCCCTTCCAACTCTTTATCTGTCAATTTTCATCTATCAGGTATTGTATTGACCTTCTTTTTCTTTTTTTAATTTGTGCAATAACCATCTCCCTGGTTTATTTGCATGTTCGAAATAATTTTGCCTTGCCATTCTAATGTTTTGTGCCCATTCTTCTTGCATCAATAGGTTTAAGTTGTGTCTAACCAGAGTCCTTTCTCCTTTTATTTTGTTGTTTTGTGGCTCTCTCTGTAGTATTATTTCCAGATTTTTAAGTTTATCTTGCAATGCAGTTTGTTGCTTTCTTTTTTCTTTGTTTCTTCATTCCATATATGCTATTGTTAGTCCTCTTATGTATGCTTTTGTAGTATCCCATAAATTTTGAGGTGTTGTTTGATGTTTCATATTTTCTCGGAAAAATATCTCCAATTCTTTTTTCATCATTTGGCTATATTCTTTCTCATTCAGGATCTTCTGGTTTAACATCCATCTCCTTTTTTGACCTTTCCAAGTTACTTTTATTAGATTGTGGTTCTTCCATGTATTTGTCTTGATTTCTATTTTCTCTATGTTACTTCCTAGTTCTAAATTCGTCCAGATCATGTCTATTCTTGACCATGAGTTATGTGGGAAGGAGTAGAAATTATACTGATTTTTGTTTGGACTTCTCTGTCTCCATACATCTCACAATCCTAATTCTTGTGTCATTTCATATATTTTTGGAAGTGTTTTCCTTTTCTTCTTGTTTGGGTTATTGCTTGCGTAGTCTTTTTTGAAGTCCACTACTGCATTAAAGTCACCCACCAAGCATATATTTTCATATTCCACCACTATTAATTTCCTATACAATTTGTAGTAAAATTATTTTAGTTTGTTGTTTGGCACATATATCACCGTAAGTAATTTTTTAAAATGTATTAATATTTCGAGCATTAGTATTCTGCCATTCTCGTCCGAATATACTTGTTTTGGGTTTAATCATTCTTTAACACAGCAGTCGCCAATCGGTGGGCCACGAGAAAATTTTGGTGGGCCGCAGAGAAATCTCACCCCCAGAGCACCCCCAAAGCAATTAATCCAGGCAGCGCAGGAATAAAAGCTGCACCGCCCACATGGCCAGTGGGAACCCTCCCTGCCCACTCACTCCTTACCCGGCAAACTTGCCTGCTAAATTGCTATTTTTGCTTTTTCCGACCATCAGGTGTTCTGCTGTGCCAGGAGATTTAGATTAGCTCAGAAGCAGAAAATGGTTGGATTTCTTGCTTTCTAGCTAGTCGTTAGATCTTTGGCTCTGCTTTTAAGCACAGCCGAAACTCCCTTAGGACTGAAGGTTCTATTATTCAGTGCAGACTCACGGCAAGCAAATTTGAGACTGAGCTAGCCGATGGCAGATAGATAGATCACTGAATGATTCTGTGAGCAACTCAATCTGCCTGCCTGCTTTGCCTGATTTTGGGTAAAAGTTGCTCTTTTTTAATAAAAAATTCAATATTTACATACATGGTGTGTTGTGGGTTAATTTTGTGAGTTTGCTTGCAAGCAAATTTTATGTTTCCGCGCAGCCTGGATTAATTGCTTTGAGGGGGGTGCTCTGGGGGTGAGATTTCTCTGAGGCCCACCAAAGTGATTCATCCCTTGATACTTTATAAATTTCATCCCTTATTGTTTTTCTAATGAATCTTATATGGACCTCTCAGTAATTTGTTTCGTCTTGCGTAGTTAGTATGTACTCTATACAGTTCGGTCTATCTCTCTTTGCATCTCTTGACTATTTCTCTGCAACATCTTTGCCAGTAGATCTGACATTGTTCTCAGCAAGTCCTCATCTTTGGTTTCAATAATGTTTTGGAACCTCAGGTAGAAGGCAGCTCTCTCCATTTCTAAGTGGACTATTGATTCTTCTAAGTTTCTGTTAGCCACCATCAGCTTCTGTTCCACTGTGTCCACTTTTTTTTCAGTTTGTTCCATCTTAGTTTTTACTGTCTTTATTTTTTATTCATTCTTGTCTATTGTTTGTTGAATTGTCCCTATCTTGTAATCTAATTTTTGGATCGCACCCTTCATTTCTCCCATCTCATTCTTAAAGTCTTCATGGTTCCTTGTTATTGTTTCTTGAGTTTTCATCATTTCCTGTATTGTTATAAGAGTTGTTTGTATTGTCTGCATATTTAAGGTAGAACTTCCTTTTTCAGAACTCAACATGCCTTCAATTGAACACTGACCTGATGGGGATGCAATTGTCAATGATGGATTGGATGTTGTTCTTTCCCTTGCTTTTGTTATTGTTACTGTGTTTGACATTTTCCAAGTTCTAAAGATACCTTTTAATACTATCATTAATTTTCCCTTCCACCTCAATAGTCTACAACAGTCTATGTTTATAACAGGTTAATAAGTATGTATGAATAAGAGATTTATCTATTCTTCACTATTCTCTCAGTATTTCAGTATGTTATTACTAACTTCATTTATTTAACTCAATAAATATTTATAAATATGCAGTAAATATCAATCTATATAAGTCATCACGCGGCACTCTCCAAGCTCTCTCTACCACGTGGTGGCCACAGCGTAGCTGTCTGGGAGGGAGGGCAGATGTCCTGGCCAGGGCTGCTGCTGCCACTCACTTTCTTCCTTTCATCACCTGGGAGAAGGAAGAAAGCAAGAGGTGGTGGAGGTGCTTTGGGATGGCGGGTGGATGTCCAGGGGCTGCCTCCTGCAGCAATGCCGCCACTGCCACCGCTGCTTGCTTCTCCTGGGGGACAAAAGGAAGCGAGCAGCGATGTCAGCACTGCTCCTGGTAATGGGAGGCAGCCCCAGGGCTGGAACATCTGCCCGCCTACACCCTTGCCACTGTCACCATGGCCACAGCCGCTCACTTCTCCTGGGGGACAAAAGAAAGTGAGTGGCTGCGGTGGCAATGGTGACGGTGGCGCTCCTGCGGGCAGTGGGAGGCAGCCCCGGTCTGGGACATCCACCCGCCTGCACCCTTGCTGCTGCCACCCCCGTGGCCGCTTGCGTTTCCCAGGGGATGAAAGGAAGTGAGCAGCGATGGTGGCGCTGTTGCAGGCAGCGGGAGGCAGCCCCAGGCCAGGACATCCGCCCGCCCTCACCACCATCACCAGTGCCACTCATTTTCTTCATTCTCCTGATGCCTGCTGCTCTGGAGCTCTCTGGATCAGTTCGTTCCAGACCAGGTGTTTGTGTGTGTGAGAGAGAGAGTTTGTGGTGTGTGTGTGTCTGTGAGAGAGAGAGAGAGAGAGAGAGAAGAAAGAAAAAGAAAGAAAGAAAGAGATAAAGAGGAAGAAAGAGGAAGAAAAAGAAATAGGAAGGAAGTGAGAGAGTTTGTGTGGTGTGTGTGTGAGAGAGAAAGAGAAGAAAAAGAAAGAAAAAGAGAAAGAAAGAGAAAGAAAGAAAGAAAGAAAGAGAAAGAAAGGGGAAGGGAGAGAAAGAGAAAGGAAGAAAGAAAAAGGAAAAAGAAATAGGAAGTGTGTGTGTGTGATGTGTGTGTGTGAGAGAGAGACAGAAAGAGAGAAAGAAAGAAAGAAAGAAAGAAAGAAAGAAAGAAAGAAAGAAAGA